TCCAAAAAACCGCGGAGGGCCCCCCCCCCCCCCCGGGGCATTGCCTGCTCTTTGGTCACATGTAGATGCGGGCCAGGGAATGCCCCAGCCGCAGCTGATTGGGGTGAGAAGGGAGGTCTGCCGTTGGCAGTTTTGGGTGAAGTTGGTTTACTTTACACCGAGCCCATGCACATCACTACTAGGAAAGAATGGCGGTGCATGGGGCACAACAAAAACACATACACAAATATTAAAGAAAGCCTTAGTAACTGCAGAGAGGGAGGTTGTGGGTATAATAATTAGGTTTGTTCCTGACACTCGGTACAACTGAAGATATTTGTGTGAGCAGCAAAACGTCGTCAATATTGAAGGACAAGTCCAGCTGACTATGACCCGGACACATGACAACGACTTGTAAGTATACCCTGACACGGTCACGGATACAGCCTCAATCCCGGAACATTCGCTGTCCCCATACACACACCTCTCTCGGCCCCTCCCCCCGTATCCCATGTGACACAGTAAACAGCATCTCGGCGTTCCCGTAGCTTCTAGCAGCGTCCAGCACAGGATGACGTCACGGTGACGTCAGCTGTCGGTGCGGCTCCCCCTCCCGGTAACCCAGAACTCCCTGGAATGTTCCTCCCCCGGTCATCGCGCACATGAAACGCGTCACTGCGCCGCTGTGAACCGGGGTTGTGGTTGGACGTGGAGGCTGCGGGTGAGTTCCCGGTGTATGTGTGTCACATGTATATACGGCGGGGCTGGCACACATGTTGTTGTTATGTTACACTGACAGCTAAGGAGTGACAGTGAGCTGCTATCAGTGCTGTGCAGGGTGTCTGCTCTCTGTATGTTTCTTCCTGCTGCTGATCTCACCCGACCCATGATTCCAGAAGAGCTGCATGCAGTCATTCGTCACACAGGGGAATCACTGCCTACTAGTCAGGATCTTCCCCACCAGTCACACTGCATTCTCCTGGGTGCTAAGTACCTGGATGATGTGAGTGCATCCATCACCAATGGGGGCCAGGGTGCAGGGACATGAGGGAAGGATTTAGGGGTCTCTGGGACCAGGGTACAGGGACACGAGGGAAGGAGTCAGGGGTCTCTGGGACCAGGGTACAGGGACACGAGGGAAGGAGTCAGGGGTCTCTGGGGACCAGGGTGCATGGACATGAAGGAAGGGGTCCCTGGGACCACGGTGCAGGGACATTAGGGTAGGAGTCAGGAGTCCCTGGGACCATGGTACATGGACATGAGGGAAGCAGTCAGGGGACTCTGGCACCAGGGTGCAGGGACATGAGGAAAGGAGTTAGGGGTCTCTGGGACCAGGGTGCAGGGACACGAGGGAAGGAGTCAGGGGTCTCTTGGACCAGTGTGCAGGGACATGAGGGAAGGAGTCAGGGGTCTCTTGGACCAGGGTGCAGGGACATGAGGGAAGGAGTCAGGGGTCTCTGGGACCAGGGTGCAGGGACATGAGGGAAGGAGTCAGGGGGTCTCTGGGAGCCATGGTGCAGGGACGTGAGGCAGGAGTCTTTGGGAACAGGGGCTGTGTAGCAGGAGACCGGCCAGGGTGTCCATGCTGACCCCTGTTCACTGCCAGAAGTGCCTACAAACGGTATGCAAGTATCAAAACTGGACCACGGAGCTATGCAAGAAGAATCATGTTTTCTTTTACATCTTGTGGATGACCATGAGCGCGTTTGTCACTTACCTGGGGAAGAGATGACACCAGGATGCACAATGAGAAGAAAGAAAGCTGGCGGAGGCAGCGTAATAAGTTGGGCAATGTTCTGCTGCTAAACCTTGGGTCCTGCCATCCATGTGACTGTTACTTTTACACGTACCACCTACCTAAACATTGTTCCTGACCAAGTACACCCCCTCATCGAAACAGTATTCCCTGATGGCAGTGGCCTCTTTCAGCAGGATAATGTGGCCTGTCGCACTGCAAAAAATGGTAGAAGAATGGTTTCAGGAACACGCAATGAGTTTGCGGTTTTGATTTGGCCTCCAAGCTCTTCAGATCTCAATGAAATCAGGCATTTGTAGGATGTGCTGAAAAGACAAGTCCGATCCATGGGGGGCCCACCTTGCAACAAAAGGTTCTGCTACTGACAGCTTGGTGCCAGACAACACAGCATAACTTCAGAGATCTAGTGGGGTCCATGCCTCCATGGGTCAGGGCTGTTTTTATATTCAAAGGGAGCCCTTTCAATATTAGGCGGGTAGTCATAATGTTATGGCTATATTATTTTTATATATACTGTATACACGCACACTGTGTATTCAGTGGTTTGCTTGGAGTTCAGCTTTTAACTTTTCTATTTTAATGAAATATTCAGCCTCTTCCCTGCTCACTTGGGAAAATGTGCTTCTCCATTTTGCTAGAATAAGCTGGAATGCGGGGCTGGGCATCAGGCTATTAAAAGGAAATCCCACCAAGAGTGCAGGAGGCATTTTATCTAAACTTCACAGTGTGTGTGCAGAGCCAGGCAGAGGGTTTTTTTTATTTTTTATATGACAGTAGATGGTGTTAAAATCTGACACGGGCTGGACCCTATACAGACATTAGAAGTATATACTCTGTGTGCACAATTATTAGGCAAGTTGTATTTTTGAGGATTCATTTAATTATTGCACAACTACAGTGCTCTCAGTTAATTTCAAAATGTTAATAAATCTCAAACGTGAATATTGAAGAAAGTAAAACTGAGGTTTTGGCTTTCTAAGGAGAACATCTATATGTGCACAATTATTGGGCAACTATTAGGCTGGGTTCACACCTAGGCGTATTGCAAAAGTGCGTCTGTCACGCGTTTTTTTACCGCGATTCGCGGTAAAAAAGTCGCGCGATTCCGAAGGCTACTTGGCTGTATTCCAATGGAAAACGCCCTACAAAACGGCCCAAAGTAGTACCTGTACCTTTTCAGGCGTGGGCCGTTTTGTAGCGCGTTCGGGACGGGCGGAAATACGGCAAGGTGGGAACGAGTCCATTGACTCCAATGCAATTTATATTTTTGAGCGTTTTGTAGAGCGTTCTTCGAGCGTAGAACGCGCTACAAAACGTTCAGGTGTGAACGAGGGCTTAGTGTGCACAATTATTATTGCAACTAAATGGAAAACAAACTTTTTCCCCTCTCATGTTTATTTTCATCTGTTAAAGTGAGAATAATAAACAGCTCAACATTTACAAATAAACATTTTCTGACATTTTAAAAAACAAAATCAGTGACCAATATAGCCCATACCAGTCATCAGCCTTCCATCGATGGAGTCTGTCAGTTTCTTCATCTTTTGACGATCAACTTTTTGTGCAGCAGCAACCAAGGCCTCCCAGACACTGTTCAGAGGTGTGCACTGTTTTCCTTCACCGTAAATCTCCCGTTTAAGAAGGTCCCACAAGTTCTCAACAGGGTTTAGGTCAGGTGAGGAAGGGGGCCATGCCATTATTCTTTCATCTTTAAGGCCTTCACTGGCTAGCCACACAGTGGAGTACTTGGATGCATGCAATGGAGCATTGTCCCATCGGAGGAAATTCCTCCCTACCTAGACCAAACATATTCACAGGACACAACACACAGACACAGTACAAAAAAAAAATCTGATCGCAAGACCACCAGATGTGCAACATAGTCCCATCTTCCCTCCCCTATCTCCAACATTGCTTAGGTATGCTTGGTTAAACTCTAGGAAGATTAACTGGACACCTATACCACCTAGTTACAATGTTAAAGTTTATTATTATTATACAGGATTTATATAGCGCAGTTGGCGCAGCGCTTTACAATATAAGGAGGACATTACAATCACAATACAATCCAAGACAAGATTTGAAGGAGGGCCCTGCCCGTGAGGGCTTACAATCCAAAAGGGCAGGGCCAGTGATACATGAGGAGGTAGCTGTGTGGGGATGAAGTTTCGCTCCTGTGCTCGGCTTGAAATTGTGGATTTAAACGTTAAGGCAAAGGACCGCACCCAATCCTCGTTCCTACATTCTAGTATAACAGGGGCAGTTGGGGAATGCCTGTTACAATGATATATATAACAGAGTTTGAATTTTATACGTACCCTCTCTTTTATTCACACCGAGATCCCCAAATGCTGTCAAATCTCTTGTCACCCTTCCAACTGGGGATAGTGACGAGAATTTTTTTTTCAATTGGAGATACGCTAGCCACCGGCCTTCAGGAGGGGAGTCATCGGGGTTCAGTGACTTTGGGGGCAGCAAACCATTACTCATACGTGCTTGCTTCATTGGAGATGGTTCCACTTTTATAAACCGTGAAGATCTTCTACCAGGGGGAAATTCTGGGTGTGAGGGGACCCACATAAGATGATACATTATAGGACCCAATCGCATTATCCCAAATACTTAACAATTCGATGACAAACCCAGACTTTTTACAAGTGACGCCATCACGGTGCTGCAGCCTGAGCAGAGCTCTGGGAGGGGCCCAGCAAGCCCCACCCACTAGAAAATTAGATGAGGGGGGTGGATACAAGACCAGCCACCCTGCACAAGAGCACCGGTTATTGGTCTTTGTTGCTGGAAGCTCCTGCACAGAGGCAAAGTCTTACACTGGTTTACTGCACAGATCTGGAAGACATATACAAAACACACCAAGATTTCAGTTAGAATACTCCTGGCTCTTGTATTTAGACAAGATTTGCTTATTCTGGAGCTTAGCTTTAAAGTGGAACTTTGGGTTAGTGAAAAAAGTAACGCGACACCCCCAGTCTACAAATGCAGGATATAATGCTAGTTATGTGTATTGGGGCTCTAATAGAGAGTTATACTTGCCTTACTCCATGCTTTTGCAGTATTGCTCCTTGATGGTTGCAGTAGTGATGACTGGTCCCCCAAAGCCGATCCTCTTCTTTGGCCTTGTCACCGCCCCCTCTCACTGCTGTCATCACATTCATTGCAACCTCAGTGGCCACTTCTGGTCCTGCATTGTAGGTGATGATATCAAGGGCCTGCCTACGTTACGTGGCAGGAGAGAAGGCCACGGTGCTTGAAAAAGGTAAATGAGCAATGTATTCTGCACATATAGGAGTGGTTGCTTTTTATTTATTTTATTGGACCAACCTTGAAGTTGGCAATATCCAACCAACTGCATAGAGCTGAAATATATGGAAGTAACCTGTTCTGTTTGCTAGAATTCTAGTAATTCTGTACAGCCAGTTTTGTGACTCACACACCTGCTGCCTTGTGTGACCCTACAAGTCACATTCACAGTTCTTAATTTTGCAGTGTCATCTGCCTACTCTTAGAACTATGTACGAGTATCATTACCCTACTGAGTTCTCTATGCTTTGCTCATATGGTGTAGGATACCCATGCCTAAAAACTGTCAACCTAATTGACTTGTAGCTTGAAACCTTCCACTCTAGGGCCTCGTTCACACGAGCAGTAAGGGCACAGTAAAGGTTGATGTGCCTTTTTGCCGCCCCGAGCCTGCAATTTCAGCACTGCGGCCAACAACAAAAAATCAGCAGCATGTCGTATTTGACAGGTGGTTCTGCTTGTCAAAAGCCGCAGGTGAAATGAATGGGACTGCACCGTAACCTGTACTTCAGTACAGATTCCCATTGGGATTTAAAAAAAACCCCCTGCATTCAGGAGGCGGTAGTTTCACATCCAGATTGTTGGCCACCACTGCGGATCGCTTTGCATAGGGCGGTGGAATGTCAGGCTCATCTGAATGAGGTCCTGGTCTGCTATGCAGGAGGTTGTGGGAACATAGCATGGAGGTATAGTTCCAGCTTTATGCTCGCAGTAATTTAGAATGCATTTCATATTGTTGGAAGGGAAGGAAGGAAGGAGCGAGCTCTGTTATATTAACCTACAATTCTACAGACTCTGATATTTGTGACAAGTATTCTTAATGTTTTAATATTATTACTTAATATTTCAACTCATCATGCCCTAAACCCAAGAACAAAAGTTAAATATATATTGCAACTTTCCAGGCTGTGTTAGTGATTTTTTTTTCTGGATTTTTTATCTTACCTTTTACTTGGTGATCCTGCCAGTATCACACTTCCTGTCCTAGGGTGACAACTCTCACTTACTGTACTGTAATGAAAGAAGAAGCAGGGTTAGGGCTAGAGCACACCTCTCCCTCTACTCATCCCTATAACATAGGGAGGAGGAAATGGTCTGTAGTTTACAGAAGTACACTTGGCAGGCCGATACTAATGCTTAAGGTAATGCTGCAGAGTTCTCGTGAGGTTACAAGCTCACTGGATTTCTGGCAGGATCAACAGTTTTTTTTTCCCCTTTTGCACTGATTAAATAGGTATAACAGTATATTAACAGACTGAAAGTGAGCTAATAAGAGAAGTTTATTGTTGGGGTTTACATTTACATTTAAGGCCCCATTCACACCTAAACGTGAATGCTTTCAGACAATTGTTTATGCGCATTGTACAGGTGATTTTCAGGTGCTCCCATTGAAGTCCATGGGGCCAAAAATGTGCAATTCTGCCGGAAAAAGCTCATGTACTTTATGGGGTGAGAGGTGTCAAACTACAAGCAACACAATGCTCAGAAGTTTACCAGCACCATTAAAAAATGGGGGCGCTGCGCTGTTTTTTGTTGAGTTCCAGCACTGCAAGTCTTCCTCTCCTGGCTACGAGGGAGCTCCATAGAAGTCTATGAGGCTGTTATGTGCAGGTGTGGCCAGCAGAGGGAGCGGTGGATGTAAACAATAACAGAGCCGTGCCCATCAGACAAACCTCGGTAAGTACAGATCTGTGGAGGGTGGGATCGTTTAGATCAGGGGTGAGGGGGAAAAAAGGATAAGTGCTTTTTGTTTTAAATTGCATTTATCCTTTAAAAATAAGGAGTTTTCTTCTTGCTGAGCGACGTCATGGTTAGGGAAACAAACAACAGATAGCTCTGGGGTGAATGGGGCCTTATTTATAGGGTTAAGTGTCACATCTGTAGTATCCATATGAAAGCTTACAACGCGTGCTCTAAAATTCTTATTGGCAGACGTCTTTATTTAGCCTGGTTCGGTGTTATGTTAGACCTCTAGTACACTTAGCAGTTGGTCTCTCAGAGGTTTTGTGACATAATTTATGATTTATAATACAGTGAGCCACATATGTAAACATGAAGTGCAGCTTTCTAGTATCAATAATGAGAAAAATACACCAAGTGCAGAAATGGGTGTTTTAACCTGCTCTTAATTTTACAAACTCTTCCTCATAGTTTTTATTCTGTAGAAGTGTCAGTAGTATTTACATGCTGAGTACATGCATTTGGCATGTGCTATCGATTCCAGGTTTACTGTATGAGCTTTATGTTCTGAGTCATATTTTATAAACTAAACGAATGAGGCATTGACTCAAGGAGCTGTCACTTACATGGCATTGCCAAGCCATGTGTTATCCTTTATTTGCTCTATAGCACTTAAGTCTAGCTTTGATTTCAGTTCGAAGTAAAGGGAATGTGGACAGGGGTAGTGATCTTGCGCTGAGAAAGGCAAGCGGGTTTGAAGCATCCTGACTGGAAGTCTGTTTCATATGCTACAAATCCTGTAAGTGGGGTGTTCAGAAAATGTCAGCTATGTAAGTGAATTAAACTGTGTATCCCAGACCTTCCGCTAGCTTTCCTGTTCCTTTCCCCTATACTTTTGTTTCTATATTCTCTGATAAAACGTTTTCTTTTCTCTTTTAGCTCTCCATATCGGTATTACAGAAGAAGGCTCTTTTATCCGCAATCCTGGAATATCACTGATACCCGGACCACTGATCATGTTGTGCTGGGGAAATGCTTCCTTTGGGCAACTAGGACTAGGGGGAATTGATGAAGAAATTGTCATAGAACCCAGAAGATGTGACTTTTTCCTAAATAAAGCAATCCGTGATGTTGGATGTGCCAGCAGGCATACTGTGTTTGTTTTGGATGATGGGACGGTCTATACATGTGGATGCAATGATCTAGGACAATTAGGACATGACAAAGGCAGGAAAAAGCCAGGTAAGGGCTTTTTCTTTTCTTTTTTTTGTTTGTAAATTCTGTATTTTTTAATTTTTTGCTAACAATACAATACAAACGGTAAAGGTAGATAAACACACAGTGAATATAGAGACACGTAAGGGCTTTTTGAGATCTTCTAGTGAATGAGGAAAATGCAGATTCATGATTTTAGCTTCACTTTTTCACTTGTAACTTTTTCCAAAGAAATGAATGCTATTCTTCAGAGATCCCTGTAAATGCAGAATAAGCTGGCTCTGCTTTGCATGTTCTCCTGGAAGATGGCTGTGTACAATCTCAGAATTCATTATCTTTGCTACAGAAAAAAGGGCATCAACAAAGTCTAACAAATGCTTCCTCTTCCTTATACAGGTGAAACTCGAATAATTAGAATATCGTGCAAAGTTCATTTATTTCACTAATGCAACTTAAAAGGTGAAACTAATATATGAGATAGACTCATTACATGCAAAGCAAGATAATTCAAGCCGTGATTTGTCATAATTGTTGTGATTATGGCTTACAGCTCATGAAAACCCCAAGAACCCCAAATCCACAACCTCAAAAAAGTAGATTATTACATGCAATCAATAAAACAAGGATTGTACATAGAACAATATCGGACCTCTGAAAAGTACAAGCATGCATATGTACTCAGTACTTGGTTTGGGCCCCTTTTGCAGCACTTACTGCAATTACTTTTGCACGATATTCTAATTATTCGAGTTTCACCTGTATAGTGGCTGCCAGTGGCTTCAGACTCAGAAGAGTACATTATTCAGGTTCCTAATCATTGCCTTTGCAGTTGTCTGGATAAGGGCAGTTCCGGTACATAGCTCTGAATCTTGCTATTATAAAAGAACTAAAGCCATACATTTTATTTCTTTTTTTGTTTTGGATAGAGGGCAGAGGGATTAGAACACTTGTCAGGTTTTTATTGCTATCTCTGTCCCTGTTTAAGTTCATTCACCCTCTATATTTGTCCTGTTGACTGTTACATCCTCATCATACGCCAGTATAGGTGGACACACATAACTGCACTACTATCTGCATACAATTTATTTAAACTGGGCATGCTATCCCTATTGGGGTTATAGTGTATGCTACCCCAACAATTCTTTGTGTCTGTGTGTGTGTGTGTGTCTGTGTTTTCATGTTGCTGTGTGTAAATGTAGCCTGTTCATACTGAGTTCTTCATTTGTTCTGAAAATACTCTAAAAGTGATTTTTTTAAAATTGAGTTCTCACCAGGATAAGAAAGGAGGGGAAATCTTTCAGTGGGGACACTTGCTCTAGTGACTACCAGTGATTTCCACTTACTACTTTTTGTTTGCTATGGGCAGGGCTTGAAAAATCCACTCGTCCTCTCGTCTGTGACAAGAGGACGGCGGAGCTCGACCAGTAGCTTCCCGGCCGGCCGTTGTAATTACATGGCCGGCCAGGACCTTTACATTCAATCGATCGGTTGTCTCTAGAGACGTCCGATCGCTTGTATAGGAGCAGCTGTTACTGCCTTTGCCAGTCCCGAGATCCGCTGTGCCCAATGCGTGCGGGACCGGCACAGGAGGTCAAAGGGAGATCGGTACACGATCTCCCTTTTGATCTCCTCTCAGTCCCTGAATGCATGAAGTCATGTATATTACATGACTTCCTTCATTCAGTGTCAATATCCAGCTACAGAAGCTGATGAAGCAGATCTCTGCTTAATCGGCTTCTCTGGGGGTCCCTAGGTGACATTAGGGGTCTTGGTGACCCCTCATGTCTCCATAAAGAGGACCTGTCATGTAAATTGGCTATCACATAGGGGGCTTCTTATTCCCCTATGTGATAGCACAGGGCCGGCCTTAGGGGTGTGCGAGCAGTGCGGCCGCACAGGGCGCCATTGCAACAAAGGCGCCGTGCGGCCGACACAGCTCGTCCTGGGGGTGGCTTCTCTCCCCCTCACCGCTGGGCGCTGGCCCTCCGATATGACAGCGCTCCCTCGTCCGCGCAGGAGGGAGCGCTGCCTGCTGTCAGGATGGCGGAGCGGTGAAGGAGAGAGAAGCCGTGCCCGCAGCTGTCAGGATGGCCGAGCAGGTAGGAGATCGAAGCCGCTGTCATCCTGTCAGTTTCAGGATGACAGCGGCTCTGTGCGTGGCAGAGCGGGGGATGGGTAAATATCAGTGATATTTACCGATCCTCCGTGTGAGAAGGACAAACAAAAGCATGACATGTTTGGTGTCTATTTACCCGACGTGACCCCGTATTTTTATATTTTACCAAAAATATGGGTGATAAATGGGTGCGGTTACTGGGGGTGTGGCCACTAAAGGGTGTGGCCACTGAGGGGTGTGGTCACTGAGGGGCGCTGTAAAGCATTCTCGCACAGGGCGCCTAAAGGCCTAAGGCCGGCCCTGTGATAGCAATAAAGTTGTGTAAAAAAACAAAAAAAAGTAATACATAAAGTAAAGAAGCATCAAAAAAAATAAAAACTTTTTTTAAAAGTCCCCGGCCCCCCACATACACACGCAGATATGCGTCGGGTGCACCTACATGCAAAAACGAAGATTGCGCCTATTGTGCTGCATATGTTACATATGAACGTCGGAGTGTGAGCATTCATTTTAGGGCCATTAATCACTGACCACACTAAACTGATGAGCAATAAAAGCGTTTTAAGCATCGCCTATGGCCAATTTTCAGTGTGGTCATTTTTTGCAATTTTGTGGGCGCGCAATTTTAAGGCTTGATATGTTTGGTGTCTATTTACCTTACGTGACCCTGTCTTTTATATTTTACCAAGAATATGGGTAAGAATAGATGTTTTATAACATAACGTAGGGAAAACATATTTTTTTTTTAAATTTACTATACTTTTTTCATTATATAGTAAAAAAATAACACCCCGCCCCCCCCGCAGTGGTGATTATATACTTCCAAAAGAAAGCTCTATCCGTCCCCAAACAAATGTTAACATAAATTGCAAGGCTATAGTCCGGTCATGCTGACTGGTGAAATTTCTAACTGACTGGTGAGACACCCTAAAATTTTTCAAGCCCTGGCTATGGGATAGGAAGTGAAGGGAAACCTCTCAAATGGAACACAAATGGCAAAAACAACTGAAAAATTGGGGGAAAAAAAGATTTGACTTTAGTTCTACCTAAACTCCCAGGCAGCCATGCTCCTAATGTGTTGATAAACCCAATTCTAAAGTATGTTAGTTGTGTAGCCACTGTGACTTGCGTTACTGTATGTGAATTAATCTTTCTGCCGGAGTCATCTGTGCATAGATCCAGTTGATTCCATGTGGTGGCTCCATTCACTAGCATGGTTCCAATGTGTGCACTCCTCCACCTGGGACTACATATAAACATCAAGCCTCTCTGTGTATGGCCAACTCAGAGTTCCAGTGGCCTGACTTCATCTATAAGCTCCACCAGTTGGCATGCCCCTGTCCGATGAGGGCCCATTCACACTAGCCCGCCTGCTGAAACTGAATGTTTTAGTTAGTGTACACCGCACACTGCCGGAGCTGTCATTATTTACATTCTTTTTTTAAGATTTTGGGGAATGTAGAAACTTCACTCCATTTATGTCCCCGCACACCGCGGTGTTCTGCACTGTGGTGCGGTCCAGCGCACTTCAAAAAGGTGAAGCATGTCTGTATATTTTCATAGCACTCTGCAGATCACACCTGTGTTGTGATGCAAAGCGGGCATGTAGAAGACAATTGTTTTCTATGTACCCCAGTAGTCACTGGGGGTATTCAGTTACTACAAATCACCAGTCACCACATGTAGTTTGAACGGGTCATGAGAGTGCCCATCCTGGTCACTTTGATCAGACCGCTGAAAGTGAAACTAAATCGAAAAATGGGCGAGGAGTCGGTTTATCATCTGTTTGTGCTTCCAGATTTCATGCTATCTGCAATAATAAAGTTGTCTAACGCTCTATAAATGGTAATAAAGAAACTTTCTATAAGAAGTATTAAGATAAAATGTCTGCTTTCAATTTGAGGAGGCCATGTAGCTGGTACCGCCATGAACACTAATATTGGCAATCTTTGACACATTACTTATTCAATAATTTTTAGTTAACTTGTATCCATTATTGAGGATAATTACTTTTTTTTTTTTTTCCAGAACAAGTTGGAGCTCTCGATGCTCAGAATATTGTTGCTGTCTCCTGTGGGGAAGCACATACACTGGCCCTCAGTGACAAAGGACAAATGTTTTCTTGGGGTCTAGCCAAGGATGGGCAGATAGGTCTATCTGTGATAGAGGAGAATGTCAGAATACCGAGGTAACGTGCCTTTCTTTTTAATTGTTTTTGAGTTTTACTTATTATTCATCTTGTTAATGCTCCGAAATAAATCAAACATAATGTATTATGGAATTAACTTCTGAAGTCTCCTACATACAGCTAGTCCCCGAGTTAAGAACATCTGACTTGTGTACGACTCTAAGGTCCCAGGCTGTTCCAGTAATTGCAATGCTCCCGTGCTCGAGCCGACGTTTGTAGTACTGTACCGCCTGTACATTACAGGAAGTTGTTAGATGTGCAGACGAGGAGTGCCTGCCTCTTCCTCCGGGCCTGGTACTGTACATTACAGGAAGTTGTACAAACATCTGTCCAAGTTGCATTTAAAGTAGAACTCTATACAAATTTTTTTGTTTCATTTTTATTTTTAGTTAGTATGGGGTGGGGTTAGAGCCACTGCGAGGAGAGCAAAACAAACGTTACAGAGGGTTAACCCTTCCCTATGCTATCCAAAAGTAAAAAAAACATTTTGGGCTGTAGTTACACTTAAAATATGTACCTGTTCCAAATTACATACAAATTCAACTTAAAGGAGAACTATGAGGTGAGTGATTTTCACTCAACCCTATAGTTCGAGCCAATGTGTGACAATGAAACTGTCACACGTCGGCTCAATAGATTGGGAAGTGAGCAAACACATACCCTTTAGAGCTGCAACAGTTAATCGATTTAGTCGATTAAAATCGACGATTGAAAACGTTGGCAACGTTTACGATCGTCGATTCGTCGGCTATCGATTGATTTGCCTGTTCGTGGCTGTTCCGGGCTCCACATGTGGCCTGAGCAGCACGTCACACGCTGCTCCCGCTGCGGCCGCCGTGCCCACGGCACAGGCAGCGTAAGTCACGCCTACCGCACAGGACGCTGAAGCCGCGCACGCCGCTGCTCTACTCCTCGACGCGATCTCCCTCACTCGTCGCTGGCCCGCCGACAACCGAGGGCCCACCTTCTGAAGCCAGTGGTGGACGGAGCTGCAGTGTGGAACAGGTGTGCGGGGATATAGTGGTGGAATAGGTGTCAAATGTACTATATTGCACACCACACTTTTTTTTTACTTCCACCGCGCCAAGCTTGCTCCCGTGATGGACTACAATCTTAACACAAACTAGTCGTCAATCACTGGAGCCTTTTTTTTTTTTTTTTATCCGATTAACCGATTAATCGAACTTAATAATCGGCCAACTAATCGATTATGAAAATAATAGTTAGCTGCAGCCCTAATACCCTTCGCTCGATCATGTCCCTGCAGAGATTCCCCCTGTCCCTGCTTTGATCCTCAAGAGCTGATTTGCGGAACGGATGGGGGAGGGGGCGGGTACAGCTGGCTCTGCCTCAAGATAGGCAGAACCAGCTGTCAATTACGCAGCTGGATGGATCTCAGCAGTAATGTCGGGATCCGTCCCAGCTGCGGCGCTCTCAGTATACCGCGAGCTACAGCTCGCGGTATACTGAGCTTTGGGTCACGGGAGGATGCTAGTTTGTGTCCTCCCGTGACCCGTAGGAGAACTATGGGGAAAAACACTTAGCCCATAGATCTCCTTTAAGAACAAACTTACAGACCCTATCTTGTTTGTAACCCAGGGACTGCCTGTAGCTAAATCGGAAGTCTGGGCAGATAAAAAACAACACAAATGAATGGAGCTTGGTAATCATTAATACATCAATAAATGTATTTTTTAAATTAAAGCAGTGCAAATACCTTCATTTGTGGTGCTTCGGCCTCCTCCTCTCTGATGTGTACTATACAGGGACTGCAAGAGGCTAATATCAGGTCATATTCAGCAACCTTTACTGCTTGCATTACAAAAATGAATTTAATGATGTATTGATAATGGCATAGCTGAATTATTCTGCGCCTCCTCTATCTGTATGATGTAAGGCATTGCATAGCTCTCCACTTCATTTTGGGCAAAACAACAGATATGGAACATCTTCTTCAAATGTGGTAGGAATTGTGATAAATGCAACAAGCTTTTCCTGTATATCAAGCTGGGCAAAGTAACAGGTTTGCTGCATAAGTACTAAACTTTGACCGGAAATATGGGGAGCTCCAGTGGTATATTAAGGTGACGGGAGGAGCAAACCTCATCTATTCTTGCAAAGTTCAGGCTTGGTCCTGTTATGCCACCTCTTTATTGGTCCCTTTTTTTGTGAGGGACAGTTACATTGGCCAACAGGGATGCTCGAAAGGCAGGAGAGCTTAGGGCCAGCCTGAACTGGAAAAGGCATGATTTGGATTGCATTTCATTTTGCCTGTGGTTTTCTCTGATGGCAATCACTGCTTATGTATTTTTATATAATTAAATAAAAACAATGAAGCGCCACGGACGATCAATCCCCAGTGGGAAATCCTCTCAGGCACACTGCAGGACGCTGCCCCAAAGAAGCCGGGAGAGCTGAGAATCTAGAAAGTAAGCAGAAAAGGGGCGCCTTCCTGGTGCAGATCAATTTTATTTCAGTAGATGAAAGTGAAAAACCGAATGGTACTCACTGATGAAGGGGGCGTGCCCCGGAAACGCGTTAACGGCACCACACATTGGCATTGCCTAGTGGACATCTTACTGCTTGTCAGCTCTCCCATGGCTGTGTGATTTTCATGTTTTGTGAGTACCATTCGGTTTTTCACTTTCATCTACTGAAATAAAATTGATCTGCACCAGGAAGGCGCCCCTTTTTGTGCTTACTTTCTAGATTTTTATATAATTGCTTATGTGGTTTTGGATAGAGTGGGAAAGGATTTGAACCCCTGTCAAGTTTTTTTTATTACTCTGTATGTCTCTAATTTGGTGGATTTACTCTTTTTTTTAACCATTTTTTTTAAATGACCTTTTTACTCTCCTTTTTTATGACCTTTTGACACCAAAACAGAATGTGATGAGAAATCCAAACATTTACTGTTGTCAGCAGAACAAAAGATATGAGTGCCACCTATTCCTGATACACTGATATATTTGGACAGTTATTTAGAGGTCCATGTTCCAATAAATGTACGAAAAATCACTTTTCATTGGAGAAGTTTGGAACAGAAGTCTGAGCTAGAGGTTTGGAACAAAATTAATCTGCACGTGGATGACGTGGTTCAGTATTGTTTATTAAAAGAGAACTATGGGGTAAGTGTTTTTCCCCATAGTTTTCTTAAGGGTCACAGGAGGACATATAATAACCTCTTCCCGTGAACCAAAGCTCAGTATATATATCGCGAGCTACAGCTTTCGGTATACTGAGACCACCGCAGCCGGGACGAATCCCGATATTACTGTCGAGATCCACTCAGCTGTGCCCTCCCCTGTCCGTTCCTCCAGTCAGCGCTGCAGGATCGGAGCGGGGAGGTGGGAATCCCTGTGGGGAGGGATGACTGACAGTCACCGCTCGCTGCAGGGAGATGATCGAGAAGTGAGCTAGCAACGGTATGCGTTTGCTCACTTCCCGATCAATTGAGCCGATGTGTGACAGTTTTATTGTCGCACGTCGGCTCGAACTTTGAGGATGAGTGATTTTCACTCACCTCATAGTTCTCCTTTAAGGTTTGTGGTATAAAAAGGAAGTTAGGGAATTGACACTTGAGTCTTTGCACCCTTCTGGAAATATTCTCTGCATGCTGATGTGTGTCTTTGCTGCTGGCTATGGAATCCCACTGTCTGAGGCTATTTTAATAGCCTAAGGCATTTCGTATGTTCTGGTATCTTCTAGCAGGCAGGGGGTGGGGAAGCCCTTCTTGGCTTGCTTTCGGAGTTCTGCAGCTCATGCATACCTATGTTAACAGTAGAAAAGTGTGAGGATACACAACTTTGCCCTTTAAACAAACATACATGCATTTTTTGAGAGGTCCCGTAAGAAAACTATTCCTAATGGAAAACTTTAAAAAAGTTGCCAGCCCTATTTCACCTTCTGCTAATTCTAGTGGCCTGGCTGCCATGTTGATTCTTTTGCTTCAATTATTTGAGTTGCTAACTTGAAACAAAAATGCAGATAAGGCCTTCTTACATTATGCTGAATTTCCTCATATACATACTTGTTACAGGTTGGTGACTCAGAACTTTGTGAAGCCAGCGTCAGTGTAGTACAGGGGTGGACAGATTCCAGGATCCGGATGGCCAATACTCCTTTAAAATGACAGTTGGCATTAGGGCTGCAACAACTAATCGAAATGGACGATATCGTTGTAGACAATTCTCATTATCGATTTAGTTGATTTAGCTCAGCTGACCCCCCTCCTCCTCCCAGTGCCCCGCGCAACTCTGTTCAGACGTCCTATTCCCCCACCACAGCAACTCGGCTCAGATGTCCCGTCATTCTCCCCCCCGCGCAACTCTGCTCAGCCACCGACTCTGCCTCTCCTTGCTGCAATCTGTCACCGCCGATCCTACTGCTCTCCCCCGCCTGTATCGGCTGTGGGCATCGGAAGAGACACAGACCAGGCCATGCCTGTTTACATACAAGCTATGGAGCCGGCAGATCGCTTGTATGGGGTGCCAATCAAAGCGCCCCCCTCCGCATTCCCCCGTTCCGCTAGTCCCAAGCTCCGCTGTGCCCGGTGGGATCCCGGGACCAGCATGGTGGCTCTCTGACAGGGGATCAGAGGGAGATCGGCACACGATTTCCATCCGGTCCCCTCTCCGTGTCAGTATATTACATCACTTCCGCATTCTTGTGTCACTCTCCAGCTTCATAAGCTGATGAAGCAGATCTGTGCTTTTTGGGGGTCCCTAGGTGACAGGGGTCTTGGAGACCCCTGATGTCTCCATAAAGAGTACCTGCCGCATATCTTTGCTATCACATAGGGGGGTTTCTTAGTCCCCTATGTGATAACAATAAAGTTAAGTGAAAAAGGAAAAAAAAATTTAAGTTGCAAAAAAAAAGTCACACATGAAAAATAATTAAAAAAACTAATTTTTTTTCTAAAGTCCCCGCCCATTCATACACGCGTGCAAACATGCGTCGATTGCGCCCATTACGCCGCACATGTTATATATCGCCGCGAA